CTCCTTCTTGCACCATATTACAGGACAGGAATAGGATGCATCTATTGGAGTAACAACACACAGGCTACTCATCAACACCAGCGAACTCCATTCGTGTCGACTCTTCAGGATCTGCAGCATCGCTGAGCGAGCTGCTGCCTCCACATCATCCACTACACTCCTGGCCTCAATCAACTCCCCTCCCTCTGAGAACTGCTTTCTCAGGCTATCCCCTAGCTATCAGTTTAGCAACGTCAGTGTGGCCTCCTGTGTTCAGCACTAGCTGACTCTGTGAGATTCAGGCTCCCACATATCCTGTATCTTATTCCGACTCCCGATATTCCAGTTTCGATGGAATACCCTCGTGCTGATTGGAAGGTCCTCGCTGCAGCATGATGATGATAGTTGCTGGTGCAGTCTGAGCAAAGCTTCCTTGAAGTGTTGAAGGTTGTTAGAGGCTGGCATATGTCAGATGTCAATCCTTGTGGGTGTGGCCTACATATGTCCAATGCCTGTGGAGCATTACCTGAGAGTGTAGTGTCCAATATCCAACTTGGAGATCAAATAGCAAGCTGAATGGCCAGGTTCTCATTCTCATTTCCTTGCTGAGTTGTCCCAAAACAAGCTTGTTTGGTGAGTTTGGTACGATAGGCTGAATATCAATGAGGTGAATTGTTGCATTAATAAGCTGTTTAACAAACAATAATCTCTCTCAATTGGCAACTCATTACAGCTTAGACAGAATCTCATTGCGCTGCTTGTGAAAAGCGAGATCATTAGTGTCGAAATGAGTAGCAGGGAAAATGTTAGAATCCACTATGAAAGATTTCATAGTAGAACATTTGGAAAACAGTGAAAGGATCGGTCAGACTAAGCATGGGTTTAGCAAAGGAAAATCATGCTTGACAAATCTACTGGAATTTTTTGAGGATGTAACTAATAGAGTTGATAAAGGGGTTGGAGTGGATGTTATTAACTTGGACTTTCAGAAGCTTTTGATTAGGGTCCTACATAAGAGATTAGCGTGTAAACTTAAACACATGGGATTGGGGTTAATGTATTCACATGAATAGAGATCGGTTTGGCAGAGAGGAAACAAAGAGAAGGAATAAATGGGTCTTTTCCTGATTTGCACACACTGCCTGGTAAGGTACTGCAGGGATCAGTGCTGGGATCCCAGCTATTCACAACATATTAATGATTTCAATGAGGCAATTAAATGTAATATCTCAAAGTTTGCAAATGACAGGAAGCTGGGTGGGAGGGTGAGCTGTGAGGAGGATGCTCAATAGGATTCGGACAAGTTGAGTGAGTGGACAAATGAATGGCCAGTGCAGTATAATGTGGATAAATGTGAGCTTTGCAAACTGTTTGATAGCAAAAACAGGAGGCAGATGATTATCTGAATGGCTAAAAATTGAGAGAAGGGCATGTGCAATGTGACCTGGGTGCCTTCATACACCAGTCACTGAAGGTAAGTATGCAGGTAGTGAAGAAAGTAAATTGTATGTTGGCCTTCATAGTGAGGGGATTCGAGTATGGGAACAGAGATGACTTACTGCAATTGTACAGGGCCTTGGTAAGACCACCGCTGGAGTACTATGTGCAGTTTGGACTCCTTATCTATTGTACGGGGCCTTGGTAAGACCACACCTGGAGTACTGTGTGCAGTTTGGACTCCTTATCCAAGGAAGGATATTTTGGCCTGGACGAAGTGCAGCCAAGGCGTATCAGATTGATTCCTGGGGTGCTGGGACTGCTGTATGAGGATGGACTGGATCATTACTGACCATACTCACAGGAGTTTAGAAGAACGGGGTGGGGGGTGGAGATTTTCATAGAAACTTATAAAATTCTAACAGCACTTGACAGGGTAAGTGCAGAAAGGATGTTCCCAATGACTTGGGAGTCAACCAGGGGTCACAGTCTAGGGTTGCAGGATAGGCCGTCCAGGACTGAGACAAGTGGTTGATCAGTAGCAAATGGAATTCAATCTGGATAAGTGTGAGGTGATGTACTTGGGCAGGACAAACAAGGCAGGGGAATACATGACAGACGGTAGGATCCTGTGAAGTACCAAGGATCGGAAGGACCTCGGTGTGTATGTACACCGATCCCTTACGGTATCAGGACAGGTGGATGAAGCGATAAAGAAGGTAAATGAGATATTTGCCTTTATTAGTCTTTAAACATAGATGTTTGAGAGCAGGGAGGTGATGCTGGAACTACGTAAAATGTTGGTTACAAAGGGTCTTTCCATGCTGTATATCGCTGTGACTCTATGGTTAGGCCACAGTTAGTGTACTGTGTATATTTCTGTAATCTGTTGTCTGTGCTGGAGAGGTTCAGTTATGCAGAGAAATTAAACAGATTGTTCTCCTTGGAGCAGAGAAAATTGAGTGGGGACACGATTGAGATGTATAAAATATTGAGGGACATAAGGTAGACAGGAAGAAACATTACCCCCTTGATGGAGGGATCAATAACCAGAGGGTACTGATTTACGGAAAGGGGCAGGGAGTTTAGAAAATATCTGTGAGGAAAACCTGTTCACTCGAAGAGTGGCTGGAATCTGGAACTCACTGCCTGTAAGGATGATAAAGGCAGAAACCCTCATAGTATTTAAGAAGTATTGACTGTCATTGGGGTACGGGTCCCACACACACTGACTCTCACTGGGATACCGTCCCATACCGTCCCACACACACTGACTCTCACTGGGGTTACAGTCC